AAGCGCACCAGCGTGCCTACCGTCCCTGTCCTACTGTCCCCATTTATACCTGTTCCTCTTGTACATGTCTGACAAATAAATAAAATAAAATAAATTCCTACCCCAAGATTTTAGCCATTGTGCCTGAATCTCTTGGATTGGTGACAAGGATTTAATTTAGAAACTAAAAGATGCTTATCTATCTTTGTCTTTTTTTGGCAGGTGGGGAAAGTGGACCAAAAATAAATTCTGCCGTAAAGGCTTCCTGGTTTCTTTTTCTCTGAGAGTGGAACCACATCAAGGAATGTTTGATGATACAGCAGTTAACAACATCCAGTTCAAGTGCAGTGGTAGAAAGCGCCTGAGAGGCCGTGGCAATAAATTGGGTAAATTTGGCCCATGGAGCACAAAATGCCCCTCAAATGGCATATGTGGGATGAGAACAAGGGTGGAGGATGCACAGGGAATCACAGATGATGACACAGCACTCAATGATGTGATTTTTTACTGCTGTAATGATTGATACATGTTTTCTCACCTATAAATATATTTTCAAAGATTGTTAAAAGACTGGCAACTGATTGGCAGTCTTCCCTCTCATCATTTTGATCCAAGTCACAGCACCAAACTATAATATTACACCCTGCTTGCTTGCATGCAAATAAAATTATGTTGCATCTTCTGTATTTGGTGGGAGTATGAGTAGAATTTTTTCTGCATGATACCTATTCCTTTTCAAGAACTTTGTCAACTTGATGTTCCCAGCTATTTTTGCTGCTGAATATACATGTCCCAGGATGAAGTTGAAAGATCCAATCTGAGTTGGTCACTAGGACCAGAGGTTTTGTCTTCCAAGCTTTCAGACTTGTGCTGAATCCCATTTTCAGGGAACTTCTCTCTAGCAGAGTGTATGTAAGTCTCTGTGTGGTATTTATAGTATCTATTGTAAGTGGCCTTTTAGATGTTCAGCATTCCAAAGTGTCTAAGCATTTCTGAATCCAGCTGTGTGGAACAGGATCAAAGGCTTTCTTATAATCAATCTGTCAACCTGTGAAACATTCCTGACCTGCTCTAGAGTTGCCATAGGTTTAGGTTTAGGTTTAGGTTTATTGACATTTGTATGCCGCCCACTCCCTAGGGACTCTGGGCGGCTTACATACAAGACAAGGGACATATATAAAAATTAAATTAAAAATACAATTTTTAAAATTACACATCATGCATACTGCTTAGAGTGGGGCTGGATACTAATCAACAGCCCCAGGTCTACTGGAACAGCCAGATCTTAGTAGCTTTATGGAAGGCCGGAAGAGGAGTAAGGGTCCGGATCTCTACAGGGAGATCGTTCCATAGGGCCGGGGCGGCAACAGAGAAGGTCCTCCCCCGGGGAGCCGCCAACCGATATTGACCGGCTGATGGCACCTGGAGGAGGCCCAATCTGTGTGATTTTATCGGTCTTTGGCAGGTAAATGGCAGGAGGCGGTCTCTCAGGTAGCCAGGTCCTAAACCATGCAGGGCTAGAAAAGTAATGACTAGCACCTTGAAGCGTGTCTGGAGACCAATGGGGAGCCAGTGCAGCTCGTGGAGGATAGGTGTAACATGGGTGT